CTTACATTATAAAATAATGATAAATAATTTTTTGTTCTTTTATATTTTAAAGAGCTGTTAGTCTGTGGATTTTATTAATTACTCAGATTTACGTACATGCCAAAACTCGTCTACAATTTAACTACTCAACAATTAATTTCTTTTACTTTTATTCAATATTATTGTCAAAATAATCTAGGATAAAATTTGACAAATCTTATATATACCTCATTTTTTTATAATTGCACTCTCATTATCATTTTTATTATATGGTTTACATTTATTAGATTATATGATAGAAAAATAGTGAGAGTGCCATTACATAAAAATGAAGTGTGAATAATATTTTTTTTAAAAAAATTTACTCTACAGTCACCATACAACACACCACTACACGCCCGCGCACACGCTGACCCACTGGTCTACACCATTAGCCAGTCAATTCACAAACTCCTCCGTGCACGCTTCAACCGTTGGCATTGGTTCCAATAAAGGTTCTATAAATGGACCACGAGTCACATCTTTAACAATAGGTATAAAAGAGCGAATGCCATGGCTCAAAAGGGATGATTGTTTTGCTGACGTGGCCAATTGTTATTGGCTGGAGTGTGTTCGTCCTCGTGTGTGTGTGTTTGCTTGTTTTTTTTTTTTTTTGTAATGCAGAAGCTGCAAATTGGGCCGTGCGTTTGTAAGCCTGAGTGTTTTGCTGTATGGAACCCACCAAAAGAGCAATAATTAATAGCTGTCCTTTTTCTTCAAACATTTGGGTCATTTCTCTTCCCACCGTACCTATTTGCAGCCTTTTGGTGACACCGATTGGACTAATAAATTGTGATAAAAATTGGAGTAGTTACTGAGCTCAATGTGACGGGTCATGTCTCACTCATTTGCCCTGGTTGCCATGTTCATTTATATTCTTTTTGGGATAGCTGTGCCTTGGTAAACTGTCATTCAATTTTTGTTTCCTTTTCCGAGCCACACGATTTCTCTTTTGGCCGATGAGCTTGAGACCAGGAAAGGTTCCATCTTTCTCTTCCTCTTTCTCTTTCGTCTTTTCATTTCTTCCTCTCTTCTTCCCCTCTTTGCTTTTCTTCCACTGGAACAAGCCAACAACAGTCAACCGTCGAATGCCCATTTGTTTGAGTTCAATTTTTTTTCCCAGATATCATGTCTATCTGTTGGATTTATATTACAGCAAGACAAATGGGACAAAGAAAAACGCAAGAAAAACTTAAGCCATGAAAAGAAGAAGTAGAAAGGGGAAAAATGGATCTTCATCAGAACATGTATGCTTTTGTTTTTACATTTTTTTCGTGAAATTTAAGCTGGTTCTGTGAGTCTTTTTTCGTTTAATTTTTTTCCTGATCAGAGGAAGAAGATGAGAAGAAGAATAAGCAGATGAAGAGAAGGGAATGGATCTTCAGCCTAATCGGGTCTGTAAGTTTATTTTTTATTTTAATTTCACCCATCAATTAGCCATCAATTATTTTTTATGAAAAGAAGAATTAGCCATCCGACTCCCTCTCTCTGACCCATGCTCTCTTTCTTCTCGCCTTCTTCCTCATCATCGCGAAGAAAGCTGCACTTTTTCTCTCGAATTTCTTTCTGATAGACAACAAATTGAAAAGTTGGCTGGAATTTTTTTGCTTCAAATTCTCTTATTGCTTCATTTTTTCCAAACTATGTTTATTAGTCTTTTAGTTCTTTTTCTCCTATTATTTCTGATATCTCGTGCCACTTGCCAGTGTTGTCCCCGCCGATTAGCGCTGCTCTTGTAAGTCCCTCTTCTCCCTCTAATTCTAAGCAGTTCCTTTTTCGCTTCTCTGTTCTTGGTTCATTGTAAATTTTTGAGCAATGTAACTGGATTCAGCAGTTTCTACTGAGTTCTTGAACTGCACTCGGAAGAATTTTTAGCCCATCTCGTGGTGATAGCATTTGATGGTTAGAGTTGCAGATTATTCGCCTTTTTCACTTGACACTGGCAAACTTATATTAGGTCAAGAAACTATAGCAAATATTATGCGCAAGTCCCAGAATTCGCCAACATTAGACTAGTGCATGGACGTTTATGAAGTTCAAGTTTTGATCACTGATTCGAATTTTGTTTGTTTCTTTTTAATGAGAGTTATGAAATTGAAATTATTGATGGGATTCTTTGTATTATTGATGGGATTCTATAAGAATGCATTTCTCCTTTTTGGTGAAATGTTGTTTTGTGTTTTCTACTTATTATATGCACTTTTTTTCTGTGGAAAGTTATGGAAAGAAATTAGACAGAAATATAGAAAATTTCAGACATATTTGAACTGAAAATGTTCCCAAAACCTATTTAAATGAAAAAAGACCATCATCAGTAGTCGTTAACGTTATTTTAAATGTATAGGCCTTGAAATTGCAAAGATTGTAGCTTTGTCCTCTCTGTTTTAATTTTGCCAGATTTCTTTTGTCTCTGTTTGGACCAACTAGGACACAGAAAATGTGTTGTTATCCCTATAATCCAAAGAACTGGATTAAATCAGTTAACTTTCTTTTATTTTTGCTATGGTGACACTTCCCCAGGAATTTCTTACAAATTAGCCTTGTAATTGGGAGTTTATGTGTAAGGGCTTGTATTGGAAGTTTCATGTCTATTGCCTGTTACTCTGTGACATTGTAATTGGCTCTGAATTAGCATATAATGAAAATTTTGTTCCAGACTGATCATACTTGTGCTGTTGCATTTACTGCCCTCTTTTGGAAATGTAGCCTCCATTTCATTGCTATTGCACAAGTATCATGATTGCTGTCTTTTCTGACACCTCGTGTCCTTTCCTAAGATATTTGGCCTTTTGGTATTTTTTGTCTCCTATTATTTACCAGATTAGTTGTCTAATTTTTTCCCTATTATGATGTTGTGATGTTGCAGGTACATAATCTGGAAATTTCCTCCACCATCTTCATGCGGTTTTGTAAGTTTTGTTTATCCCTTTTGAAGGTAGATTCCATAAGGATATTTTCTCAAAAAAGTGTATTCTTTAACATTGTTTCCCATGCTTCTCGAACCTTCTCAGTTTAAGGAAGAAAATAGAAAAAGCAGATCAATGTTCCTGAAATAAAGTACTTGCTTTTCATCTTTTTTCAGTTGTCTAATTCTGTCTGAATATTTATCATGTGGGGTTCTTGAATCTTTTTTTATTTTATCGTTCTTAGTCCCATTTATTGTGGTTTTGTCTACCAGTATAATCTGGTGTTTGTATCAGTGATGCTGGAGTCCTTGATTGGATTTCAAGAAATTGTAGGTTCATGGTGTATTGCCTTGTATACTAGATCATATGGTATATAATCTTGTTTTCAAGTTAAATTGGTCCTAATGACGGGTCAATGTGATTTTCATGCTAAAAAAGTCTTGTGTCGTTGATGGCGCGACTGAATTTTGGGAGTTTAGTAAGCTGTTGTAAGTAGTATTTTGTAGTGATAATGGTATTATTCACTATGGCATTTTAAGAATTGTACCTAACCACGTGGATATTTTCTCCTCCTGGTGGTTTGGTGCTTTTTCTTTTTTAAATACCTGATTGAATTATTTGATGATTTGACTTGTTGCTTATGGTTATACGTTGGTTTGTTTTGACAGCCTTGTGTGTGGAAACTCCCATGGTATTATCAGAAAGTATGACTTGATGTGGTGCAGACAATGCTTCCGCAGCAACACTAAGGAGATTGGATTAATTAAGGTAATGGATTCGAAGTTTTAAGAAAGGAATGATCATATTATTACCTTCTTAAAAAAAAAAAAAAACTAATAGAGCTACTATGATGTGGTGGTTGTTTTCATTGTCATGTTAATATTCATATTCATGTTAGGATCTGATTTTGCATTTAAATTTTTTTGTATCTATGGTTCTAGATACGAGTATATGCCAATTTAAGAATTTTGTAGTTGGTTGTTGGCACTCTATGATACTGAGTTATGGGTCTTGTTTTTCCATTTTTGTGCCGTCTTGAATAAATTACTAAATCATTCTGATTTTTCTTGCATTTGTCATTGCAATATCAGTGAACAAAAAGGCCGTTGCCTCCTTGCTAGCGGATTTTGTTGAGCAAGCTGCCATTGGAGATAAACGGATCCCAAGTTGTTATTTTCTTTGTATTTTGAACAATTTTGGCTGTTCTAAGTTACCATTGAACTTGAATTGGTATGTGAATCAACAAATTCTACCATATGCTATTCTTTAATAGAGGGTATCACATATTTTCTTGAGGTTGTCCTTGGTGTGACTATTTTGTGAATGCAATTATGGTGAATTTTTTATTTTTATTATAACAAATTGATGAATTGCAGGCAATGTTTTTAATTAGTTGGTTAATTCTCTTGAACTGAAAATTTTGGATCGTATATGTTTTATGTCGATGGCATGACAGATTGGTTCTCGTTCATTGTGACCAAATCTAGATTTGTATTGGAACAGATTGCTTTTTTTTTATTTATTTAAATCAGATGAGAGGATCTTTTGCAAGCATTTCTTATCATTTTGCTATTGCAATAATTACTGAAAAATGCAGAGCCAAGGTATATTCGTGCAAAAACATGAATATTCTAGAGTATTTTCAAAATGAGACTGGTATATTCGTGCAAAAACATGAATATTCTAGAGTATTTTCAAAATGAGACTCATTTTAGCTAATGAATACTTATTAGTGGGTTTACAATTTTGTTAAGTTATTAGAGCTTTATTATGCCAGCAATACACTTACGTGCCTATAATTTGCTAAAGAAAATGACCTTTTGTTTATTTAGCTCAACCTAAGCTTTTGCCTTTCTTGGATTTCTTCTAGAGTTGGAAGCAAAAATGGCCACCTGTGAAGAACAACTGGTGAGAGAAAACGTAAGTTTTGTTGTGTCATTCTGATTTAATTTTTTCCTTTAAATTGCTCTTTTGAGACCTGGTATGCTTTTCTCTTTGATCATTTTCAATGGCCTTTGCTCTTTTCAAACTCATTCAAATTTTCTTTTTAATCATTTTTTGGCGTCTTTCATGCAGGTATTTTGTTGATCTGCTCAAAAAAAGCATTCCCTATGGTAACTAAAAAGATACACTTGTTTAAAATATATTTCTTCATCTTCAAAATGTATTTCTTTTTGCTTCAGTTCTTCTGTTTCTTTTTCCTTCATTGGGTTTCCAACACTTATAGAATTGATGAATTTCTTCTCTAGGAATCAGGAACTTGTCTGCCAAGTTGGTCATTGGCCAAAATTTTGAGTTACAAAAGATCTTGGGATGCTACTCTTTTGAATGCTTTGTGTTCAATTTTTTGTTTTTTAGCACAGAAAATTGTCTCTTGTTAAAACCTTTTGAATATTTGTTTTATGAGCCTTAAGTGGATATTAAACCAAGTATTTTCAGCAATCTTTTTTTTGATTAATTGTTTCTGATTCACTGGATCTTATAAATGGTTTTCCTGTTTGTAGGTGGTTAAAGTTTTGCCCAAGACAAGGATTCTCAAATATTAGATTCTAAGCACCTGCTTGAAATAGTAAGTTATTGTTTTAACACCTTAAATGTTCTATTCATTTGCCGAAAAAAGAATTAACTTACTGCATAACTGTAGTTTTGCCTCTTTAATCATAGACTATGATGTTTGGTAGCTTAGAAATTCTTGTTAGAAAATTCAGTTTTAGTTGATTTAAATATGTATTTACAAAACATGATGTTCTCTTAGATTTGTAACATCTCTCACCTAATTTAGCATATCTTGATTGCATTATTGATAAAGATGTGCTGAGAAATAAGCTTCAGTTATATATCCAAACGGTGGTTTTTTCTATTCCTCGTGAGATTTGCTTCGGTTGTACATTTTTTTCTCTCAAGTTAAATTGAAAAGTTATTCTGTTTACTGATTTTATTACATGGACGCTTGTCTTGGGAGATTGGTATTGATCATCATTTAAGCTGTGAGGAATGAATGAAAAAAAAAAAAAGCATACCTAGCAGAAAACCCTTCACCATTTTTCAAGTTCTTTGGGGCATTGTGATTTCTTTCACTGGCTGGTCCTCATTGAATTATCAAAACGAATCTAATCTTTCTATGTTGGCAAACCGCAATCGTCTCCTCTTTTGAATACCTCTAATTACTCCTCCTCAGAACCCAAACAGACCATGGCTAGGGAAAAATATGAAGTTATGATTCTATAGAGACTCGTCCTAAGGATGGCTTTTGAAAACTTATCACTGGTAGGGTTTCAAAAGGCAATCTTGGAGTTGCTGTAGTTGTAAGGAATTAATATGGATTTTGGACCATCGAATCAGTAAACGATCAGGAATAGCTTCCAATCTTCATAGATCATTATTGCTACAAACTGGAATTGGAAGTTTATGCTATTAATATTTTTAATCTTTTAAACCAATATGATACTGCTATTTACAATGTGCTATGGTTATATTTGATTGTAGGTATCTTATCGTATTTTGGCAGCAAGTCTTGATCAAAGCATGTAAGCAGTGAAGCAAATCAGATGGTAGATTGTTTAGCTAATGTATAGGATGCTAACAACAAGATATCTTTTATTATGATGTTATGCCCTACCATCTTTTAGTTGCAAGATGACTGTTTGGGGATTTTATTCTCATTTTGTATGATTGTATATTATTTTAAAGTTCCTTTTATGGAAAAAAAACTTCTAAAACTATGAAAAGCTAAAACTGTAGCTTATTTTTACTATTTAATAAAATTACAAAAACATAACTGCAAAGATATTGATGCATTTTTATGTAACTTTTCATATTTAATATCTAAATTTGAATGATTGGGCATTTATGGGCAATATTGAAAATCACACCGCACATCGTGCGGTGTTATCCTCCTAGTTCTACATAAACAGCCAAATTTCAAACAACCACTACATATATTAGACTAAGTCTTGCTTGATGACTCAATTCAGCACTTAAATTTAATAAATTAAGATCTTAACATATTCAAATATATTTAAGAAAAAAAAATTAATATTTGAATTAATTAAGTGACACTGCATTTGTTAGAAAAAACTTGTTCCAAAAAATAAGTGATAAATTATTCACTTATCACTTAATATATATATATATTTTAGTGTAAGCAAGAGGACTCGAACCCGAGACCTCTTACTTACACTCTCTTCCCCGTACCATCCAATTCATCCCTCCCCCCACTTATCACTTAATATGATACACATTCAAATGTATCAAATTTAGTACTTAACAATTCAATAATTTAATGAATTTATACTTCACATTTCAGTTTTCAAATTTTATTTTTATCAAACGCACGTAGCAGAGAAGGATATGAGTCGAAAGGGAAAAGGTGGTGAGACCAGCAGTACTGAGATGACAACATGGGCAGGAACGAACAAGAAGGCAGGGAGCATAATTCCGAAACTGAAGAAGCATGTTTCCAACATGATGGGAGAAAAAATTGGTGATGCTTTTACTTCAGTTGTCAAGAATGTGACAGAACAAGCAAAAGATCAATCCAAAAGGTGCAGAGCCATCTTCTTGAATGATTTCATGGTTTATATATGAAGTCCTAGGGCATGTAAATTGTTACTTTTTCATGTGTTAATCATATTTATCTACTATAATGTAATTTGGTGAAAATTAAGTTATGGTGCAAACGACATAGAAGTTAAAATATTCTGCAAAACTGCGATGGGTTAGTGGGATATAGTAGCTGTGATTTGACAATAGTTTCCGACCGGATCCCGCGTTAATTTCATGTCCTATTTAAATATTTCCTTTGTCCAAATTTGGTAATAATAATAACACTATGCTTATACGAGTGTAAGTACCTCTTTTCTATTTATTTATGTAGCAAATTGGTGCTCGATTTTATCAATACACTTAAAAAAGTAGAAAATAAACTTTTCGTGAGAAGAGAGAAAGAAACAGAGACAGTCACGATAAGTATGAATCAACATCTAGAGTAGTGTGTTTGGATAGTAGATTATTTGGGATAATTTTTTGGAAAAAAAAATTGTAGCAGCAATTTTTTGATGTGATGTATGTGAAATAAAAAGAAAGTTAAAAAATGTGTTTATGGTGCAAGAAAATAAATTTGTGCAAATAATTCATTATCCAAACGAACAAAAAAAAATCAAGGAAAGGTACACTTTACATGTGTGCATTTGCAAGGAAAAAAAAATTGGAAGTTAAGGAAAAACAGAAATTGACAGTAAAAGTTATATTGAAAATTCTGCTACTCGCGCATGATGAGAGTAGTAATTAATTGTCCTTCTTGTATATTAAAAATTATTGCACTGGCAGAAAAAAATTAGTTCCCAAGTAGCAGCCAATTTTTTTACCCAAAATTGCCTGTTGTGGACAAGATACTCAAATCGGAATATTCATATGCAATATCCTTCCCCGGTTTCCTCATTTATATAATTTGAAAAATATATAGTAACTTATGTGCCTTCTAATTAATTTATTAAAGTAAGTGATAACTACCTATGACTTGCATAATTATTCAGATTTATTAAAGGACGAAAGTACGAGTACTTGAACGCGCTTTTGAGATTCTTCTCATCAAGTCAATATCCAAATACTAATATATGAATACAATTACAAAAATCTTAATTGCCTATAAAGACAGAACTTTGTCAGAAGCCAAATGCCAGATTAGGAAGTGATTAGGTTAATATTCAATTATATGAGGGTCAGCTACAACAACAACTTTGGAAATTTATGGCTAATCTCAGTTTACTTCTTGATGGACTATTAGGGTATGACTTTAAACGACTAAACAATTGCTTGTGACACTTCAAGACTCGTATTTTGTTGCTTGTAGTTTGGCCTTTTACGTTAATTAACCACTTTGGATTTTTTATTGTCAAAAATGTAGATAAGTACTAATACAAGAAAATTAACACAGCACCTGATTATGATTTTTACAACCATGCAAAGGGCAACAGCACCAATAGACTAGGGAAGCCACCTGCAACAAATATGTCCAAATTTAAGCCATTAATCCCTTCCCCCCCCCCCCCCCTCTTTTTCCCTTTTTTTGAGCAATTGAACCGATTTACTCTTTATATATCAACTTTGAAAAATTGCAAAATCGCCCGATCGGGATCAGAGATTGAAGTCCCAAGTACAACAACCAATTTAACTTTAAGAAGTTAAAATGGAAATAAATTTGGATTTGTATACTAATATTTAGTGATTGTCTCACTCACTTAAAAAGAAAAAAAAATCTCTGCCTGGCTTTTTAATTTAATTCAGAACAGGAAATAAAGAGGGTAAGTTCTTTTGCATTAATTTAAGTATGTAATTTATAAATTAGAGTAATATAATTGTATGGAAGCAAAGTCTTCGTTGACTAGCAGTTGACAATTAATGTAATTTATAAATTATAGCAATATAATCTCTGCCTGGCTTTTTAATTTAACTCAAAACGGGAAATACAGAGGGTAAGTTCTTTTGCATTAATATAAGTATGTAATTTATAAATTATATAGTAATATAATTGCATGAAAGCAAAGTCTTCGTTGACTAGTAGTTGAATATTATATATGCTTTAGATCAACAAATGAACGCGTTTATTTGTCATCCGCGTTCCTCAAGTCCTCTCAGATTTATTTATGCAAATCCGAAATTGATAACTCGCAAACGCGTTAACTCTCGTTTTCAAGAGACCTTTGCAGTCTATAAGTTGAATATTAGAATTTTTTTTTTTACAAATGGAAAAGAAAATAAGTGAAGAATATAGTAAACAATTTTATCCCAATAAATCTCTCAATTTCGTCAAGATATTTCAGTTTTTTTTTTGGGTTCAAATATTTATTCTATATCTCCTATGGTACGCTATTTCTAGCCAAGCATCTTTGCTTCTTTTTCTTTCTGTCTAAATTATTTTTCTTTGTTTCCACGAATTGAAGCCAATTATGGTCTTCATCTCTTTCATTCCTCATCTTTTTTCTTCTTCCCTTTGCAAATCTAAACACAAAAATAGAAGAAGAGCAAAGAAAACAAATTACAAACACTTAACACAGATGTTGATTTTGAAGGAAAAGCCACAGATGTTTAGTTTGATTGCCTTGAAAGTAGTTGGTCTTTATCGTTGAAGTCTTCCCTCCTTTCCCCAACCCCACACCGTAACACACACACGAACACAAAGACAAAAAGGCCACAAGAAATTATGGTTCTATCATAGTCTATTCTCGCACATGGCAGTACGCTATCGAATCACACACAGAGAATAACACGTCCATTTACATACGCAAGAGGATGACATAAACTCTTCAAGCCTTTAACCTAATTATCTCCACACGAACACGCACACTCACACTCCAACCAAAAAAAAAAAACAACACTAGCTTCATTTTTCTGGATGAAACCCTCATTTCATTCTTTGCCATGCAACTATAAATAGAGCCCTCAATTCATTATTTTGAAACACACAACACAAAGCTTTTAGTTCTTCCAAACACTAATACTTTACTAGACACACCCACACAGAAACACAGAAATGGCGGACAAGGGAATGAATGTGAAGGATACAGGAGGAGAGACAAGCGGCGAGAAATCGACACAGAAGCTAGGAAGCGTGATCCCAAAACCAAGGAAGCATGTGTCCCAGATGATGGGAGAGAAGATTAGTGGAGCATTTTCTTCTGGTGTTAAAAGTATCCAGAACAAGCCCAAGATCAATCCAGATGCTGGTGGTAACTGAAATGATATATGGGATGTTGGTGTCACTATTGATCTACCATTCAAACCGTTGATTATATATGTTCGTGATATTGGTGTACTTGCTTTGATGTCGTAAACTTTTATCACTATGGTCGTCCTTATTGTTAGCAATCACTTGTTGTTGCTGTAATAATCTTATATCTTTATGTGTTAGATATCTTCAAGCACACTTCTTAGATTTGTTTCTAGCTTATAAAGAATACTTTCCTATTAACGAATTCTTTAGTTTTACGTTTTTTTTTTTTTTTGTGTTGTACTAGTAATTGTCACAATTGATTGTTTGTGTCCCTATTTCTTGTTTCAACGACAAAATCGACAGGGGTTTACTTTGACGTTGATTGATATTTTTTCGGCCACTTTGGAAGGTCAAGGTGGCATCAATCCACTTGAAACACAACCTGTCCTGGAATTCAGAAAACGTGATTTGACAAATATCGGACCGATTTTCTCATTCTCTGTCATTTTCCTCGTTTCGTATAAACTTCTAAATTAATTGAATAACTCTCAAGATTTGCCAATACCAAAACCAATTGAGATGTTACGTTAGGTGTGTTCGGAATCTTAAGATGCATATATTTAGATTTTGTTCGTAAAATTGTTGCTGTTGTTCCTTAACTTTTCTGACTTACTGAAATAGAATTTGAAGAGCAATTGATAGACTTCAAAAGTGGTCCAACAGAAATCAATTTAATGGCCTGGACCCTTCAACAATTATCTTATTGAAAGATGTTTCCCTTTTTTCTAACGAATATTTAAAATTTGAGAGGTGTTTGTTAGTGAGAGTTTTCTTTTCTCTTAAGGTTTGTTAGTGAGAGCTTTCTCCTCTCTTATAATTTTCCTATTGAAAATTTTCTCTTCTCCTAGTGAGAGTTTTCTTTAATAATTTATTTATTTTGTTAGATCCAAGCTTTTGTAGATATTAATGTTAAAATTGGGATTTCTTAGATCCATTTCA